TATTATCTTGTATAATATTCCAATAATAAATTTATTAGTTGTAGAGTTAAAGCTTTAATGGATAATTTTAAATATCATGTGTTAGTTGGAATGGCTTAATCACATGAGTTTATAAGAGGACAAAATAATGAATTTTTTTATGATTTTTTTCTCTTGCAAATAAAAACTATCCCGCCTCAATACATTGCAATGGGTTTAATAGATTTTTTCGATATTATGATATCGATAGAAAACTAATAATGGTAAATCTTTCATGTCACATGAACTTTTAGAAAAATGATGATGTCTTTCATGCTACATTGAACTTTAAGAAAAATGGTAATATCCTTACTCCAGTATGTACAAGAATGACGTTATTTTTTCCTTGGAGTTGTGGTAACGTCTTAATTAATAACTACAACCTCCATTCCCTTATTATATAGGATTTTGAGGAGAAAGAAAAAAGAAAAAGAGATTTAAGAGGAAAAAATTGAAAAAAAAAATATAAAGAAGACGCGATGAACTGCGCACAATATTTGAGAAAAAAATAATAATAAACAATACAAAAAATATAAAATAAAATTAATAAAATTAACGTTTTAACAATTTTTAATAAAAAATAATTTATTTAAAATATTTTTAAAAATTAAAAAATTAAAATAAAATTGAAGAAAGAAACTGAATTTGACCAAAAGATGAAAACACTTATTTGACTTTATTCTTCTGAAATCTATTTATCTGTATCTCTCTCTGTAAGCTATGAACGTTGAGCCCCGTATGTCTAATGAAACGAAAAGAAAATTAACATTACCTATACCTGCTAGAAGCTATCTGAATCATTTGCATTTGGATTCACTGTTTGTTGTAAATTTTGGAAAGTCGAATTGCCTAGTGGTCAATGGAGAAGCAAACCGAAAAAGACCTGCAAATTATTTAAGAAGTGCAGTTACAGTAGTATACTATTTATTATAATAAATTTTGGTTTTTTAATCTATAATTTCCAATATATTTGATCAGTACTAGGTAGCTAGTATTTGATAACTTGTTGATTTAGAATTAAACCTACCATCTCTGTCATCATGTTTAATAAAAATAAAGGTTTAATTATATTTTTTTCCCTATAACCCCTCTCCATCCCCTTCCCCCTCCCCAACCACATTCCCTCAATCCTAACCCCCCCCCCCTCATCTACCTCTCCATCTCCTTCCAGCATCCTTTTCCCATCCCCACTTCCATTCTCTCAACCTCAATCTCCTTCCAGCATGTAAATAGAATCGACACTATATTTGGATGATTCTATGTAAGTACTCTGTGTCAATTGTGGAGAAGGGTGGATAAATCTTTTAGAGTATAAGGTCAAGAGAGTGGGGTTCATGGTTTTAGTGTGTGTAGTGAGTGAGGCTTAGCAGCAATTCGCTCACCAACTTCTATCTTTTCTTACTTTTGAGAAAATAACATTATATGACAACCAAGAGTGTGGGCGAATAGCTTTTCTTTGTTTGTGATAATAAATAAATAAATTGAATTTAGTGGCTGCAATTTATATCTAAATCAGAAAGAATTCAAACATTATCGTGGTTTTAAATTAATTTGAATGCATTGGGTAGAGTTTTCATAATTTCCAGTTGGATAAACTATTCGAGAAGAGCATTGTCAATTTTGACCATTAACAAAGCCTTTTTTTTTATATAAATATTATGAAACCTAATTCATGCTGAAGGAAAATAACGAACTTGCATATTTGTGAATAGAATAATTGCGAGATTCGGGAATGGCAAGGTGAGTGAGGAGGAGGAAGGAAAAAGGGTGGAGGTATGGGTGTGAGAAGAAAGAAGGAAAGAGGTTGGAGTTGTAGGTGTGGGGTGAAGTGGGAGAAGGGAAGGAGGTGATAGTAAAAGTGGAGGTGTGAGGAATAAGAAGGGAAGAAGTTGTATCCATTGTTATCTCCTAGTAGCCATTTGATACGTAACTTAAATCTGCACTAAAATTCATTTGGTTAAACACATATATAATGTTGTTGCATAATGTTGAGAAAGAAAATAGAAAGGAAGCTCTTTGGTATCATAGTGAGTAGGTTGAGGGTGGTAGAGAGGTTAGGGGTGGGGGAGGTGGGGCTGCGAGAGAGGAGTTGATTGAGGAAGAAGAAATGTTTATTTGTAAATATATAAAATTATTCAGGATTTATTTATAAATTTTAATTTTAAATAAAAATAAAATTAATAAATGATATAACATGTCACAGCTGCGACTGGTCTCAAGATAATCACGTGGCTCTATGTGGAATGATGAGCTGACTCTTTGTTAGCCAGCTCAGCACTTAATAGAGGAGAGATTAACGACAAAAATCAATCTTAAAATTATCAACTTTAAAAAAATTATTTTTTAACAAAAATATTTATAAGAACTAATTACAAAAAGACTTATATTTATAGAGATAAAAATATAATTAAGCCAAAAATAAATAAATAAGACTAAGCTTTTTATAAAATAAAAAATAAAACTTTATACCAATTTTTTTTCTCTAACAATGATTAGTTACGAGACATTTATATCAATTTTTGGAACAAAATATTTCGTATCAATTTCAAATAACATTTTTTTTAATATTATCTATTCTTATATTAGTAGGACAATCCCTTAGAGTCGGCACATCATTTTTTAATAAAAGAATTTATTTGATAAAAGACAAACTCATTGAAAGTATACTATACGAATAAACCCTCGAACTAGTACAAATTATGTAATACAAAATTAGTATACTTAGTTGTTCTGACATTTTCTTGAGTCGGCAATGCCTATTTTTTAAAAGCGAATAAAATAATTATCTGACAAATGAAATTTGGACTTTCCATTTTTTAGTGACATTATACTTTCCTTGTGTACACTTGGAGCCATTTTTTAAGGTCAGAGAATCTGGCTGAACAATTGAAAAATAAACAAATAACATTAAAGTACTGCACACTCGACAATTTTGGTTTAAAGTAAATTTTACATGGGTTTTCTATTACTTAGCTTTTAGTTCTTATAGTATTTTTAACTTTTAATTTTTATTGCTGTTAAGTATCTGTCGTTATATTTTTATTTATTTAGATTTTATAAAATTTATTCTATAAACCTAAATGTTCCATATTATCCATGAAGTATATTACTCAACCTCTTAAAAAATTAGCATGAGGTACCAAAACTTTAATGTTAAGAAACCAGGGAACCTATTCCAGAAGGAAAATAATACGGATGAAAACTCAAAATTAGTAAGAAAAAGTATATATCAATCAAAGTCTATCTAAAACCTAACTTGCACTTTGACATGATTTTGAACATCTAACTTATACGTTTAGCAAAAGGATCCTTTGGGGTTCATTTAAAGCTACAACATCTCTTATACATAAAAAAAACAGTATTCTCTCGTAAGATTAAATATTAATAGAGAATAAATTAAAGGCATACCAATGGCCAAATTTAGAATTATATTACAATTACAGATTTGGACTTATAAAAGAAAGATCACAATCTTAGAACTTTAGTTTTTTTTTTTTTTTTTAATACCATTGCTGTGATGCTGTCTGAATATTATATTAAACATTTGTATACTTCAAATCAATTTAAGTAAAATAACAATCAACAGTAAAATGTTTTTTTTTTTCTAAGTACATTCTTAAAAACAGAGATCATAATCTTATGTTTGATTTTTTGTATAATTTTATTAAATTAAATATATTTTCTTATTTTAAACTTTTTAAATATATTTTAAATTTATATTTTACATTTTTAACTAAATTTAAAAATGCAACTACATTGCAGTTATTGCAAACAATTACAAAAGCAAGATAAACGAAAAACTGATTTTCTCATAGCAATCGCGACAAATCCGTGACGAGAGAAGCAAGAAAGAATGACGAAGACGCTTAGGGAATCAAAAAATGTATATGTTGGTACACAACAAACGTGATCATTACTCAATTCATTACAGCGAGAATTGCAATTAACATACGAAAACAAAATAATTGTTTAAACCTCGACGAACCCCGTTTTCCACGACCAGTTGCCCCGTAAGTGGGATATAGGATTAGTGGGTTACATCACATTTGAGAATGAGAAATTACTCTTCAAAACAAGAAATTGTACAAAAATTATATAATCACAAAAGATTAAAAAAAACGAAATAATATGATTAAATAATAAAAAAGTGCTATAAAATTTCTATAAAAAATTAGATGAACAAGATAATTTTCTTTTGTCAAGAATAATATATTTCTTTGAAAGTTGATGTATATCATTATCATTTCATTCCATTTGCGATAACGATATATATATATATATATATATATATATATATATATATATATAATGTAACTCTTTATTTATTTTAAAATTTAAAATTAATAATAAATCAGTAAATATCTATTTACTTTCTTGTTTTACAGATTTTATTATCAATTCAAACAAGATAATTAAATATAATTTCTTAACATATATTTAAAAGTACATAATAAATTATAATATTTTATAATTCAAATGATTAATAGATTTAATTTTATAATATTTTACAATTTTAATGAAGAATTGTCATAAAATTTTTAATCGTGATACTTAACCATGGTTAATAAAAAATCATTAAATATATTTTGTGCGCAGGCTCACCCAGATTCAAAAAGCCAAAATCCAAAACCCAATCATTTGAAGTCTACCTATCGTGCCTGCTCGCACAGAGTAAAGTCCACGGCTCCATCAAAAACCTTAACACTTTTGTCTCTCTTTCCTTCCACCTTCCAACTTCCAACTTCCCCCATCACAAAGTGCTCAAGAATTTTATGTTATTGTTAGCACCCACTGGTCCTTTTGCTTTTGCATAGTTTTCTGTTGCAACAAAAATCATTAATATTCCCTTATTATAGAGAATAAAAAAACAAGGAGCAATAAGTCACACGTACGGTGCGTATTAATTAGGTTTTCTCACGAGTTAACATTCTTCGCTTGCTTCGGCAGCATAATCCAACTGCACTGAACCTTTATGATCACCTATGGGCATCTACACGGAGTGCCCTGCACCTGCACCACCACCACCACCACTGCTTAATTTCGATCATGATCCTCCTTCTTCTTGCTCCCTTCTACTTCTTCTTCTCCTTATCTTGCCGCCGGTGACGGCACAGTTCCAATATTCGCCGCCGCCGCCGTTAGACCCATTCGCGAAATTGAGGTTCGACAGGACCATGGCCGTTGTCCTCGTTATCCTCGTCCTCGTTTTCTTTACATTGGGCTTCGTCTCCATCTACACGCGCCAATGCGCAGAGCGAAGGATCAGAGGGAGGCTCGACCTCGCCGTCGCGATCGCCAGCGGTAGCGAGCGCCGGCCATCGCGCGGGCTCGAATCGGCGATCATCGACACGTTCCCCATATTCGTGTACTCCGAGGTGAAAGGCCTCAAGATTGGAAAGGCGACGCTAGAATGCGCCGTCTGTCTGAACGAGTTCCGCGACGACGAAACGCTGCGTTTGATCCCCAAATGTAGCCACGTGTTCCACCCTGATTGCATCGACACTTGGTTGTTAAATCACAACACTTGCCCCGTTTGCCGTGCCAACCTCGTGCCCAAACCCAGCGACACTGCTTTTTCCGTTGCGGTTCAGATTCTAGATCCCGGTGGACCCGAACCAAATATATCCGTCCCGCAACCCGGTTATGATCCGAATTGGATTAACCCGGTGGATGGGAATGACGGGAACATGATAATAATGAACGAGACCCACAGTGTAAATTTAGATGATGAGAACCGGCCGGTTCGGTCCAGATCGACCGGGTTTGAGATTAGAACACTGTTCCCGCGTTCTTACTCGACCGGTCACTCGCTGGTTCAACTAGGTGAGAACTGCGAGCGGTTTACCCTGCGGTTGCCAGAGGAAGTGCGGAACCGGCTTGTTAGTTCGGCTTCAGCCACGTTGGACCGAACGAAGAGTTGCAGCGTGACGTGGCATCATGAGAACAGTGGGAGAAGCGGTTACAGGACGAGGAGCGTAGGGAGAAACTATTTGCATTACGAACGGTTGGACCGGTGGGGATTCATGTGGACCCCACCGATTTTGGGCCGGGCCGGTCCGGTGAGATCAACTAAGGACTCCAAGGCAATCGGGGTGATGGATGAAGCGCACGTGGGAGAGCGTTCTTCTGATCGCTTATTTTCCAAGCATTGAGGGTCAGTCTAGGAGAGTTTCTTTTCTTTTCCTTTTTTTTTCTGCCAAAGTGTAGGGGAGGTTTGATGTGAATGAAAATAACATTGGCCTTTTAATTATTATTTTATACATACTGGTTTATGTGAGGGTTTGTATTCATAGTATTTCATTTCAATTTTTTGGATTTGGGTTTAAGGCATCTGTATTTATTTGTTGAAAATGGAGAATAGGAATATGTGTGCAGAAAAGCATAAAAGACAATTTAAAATTTACTTACATTTATAGCTCATGTTCTAAATTTTAATACTGCAGCAGTTCTTATTGATGCTTTCCTTTCATATATTTGTATGTGCGTGTTTTTGGTAATCATCCATGTTTGTTTTTCTAACTTATTTATACATGACATATATCACAACATTAAATTTCAGAGTCTATTATAATTTTTATTTTACCTTTTTATGATATCATCGTATTTGTTCTCTTACTTTCCAAAGAAATTTTGGTAACTATTTTGTAAGTGATAACTGATATATCTGCGTACAGATCAATATATCAACAGGTTAGAATTTTCTACTACACAGTTAGTATATTTTTGTATTTTTATTTAAGTAAAAAATTTGCACTTAAAATGCAAAACATATACTATCTGTAGGTGCAATTGCCACAAAAAATGCAGAGAATTTTAGTCAACATAAACTATACATTTTAAACAAGCTAAACAAAAATTATAATTATAAGATAAATAAATAAATAATCAATGCAAATAAATAAGAGAAAATATAAATATTGGAATTAATAAAAAATATATTTAAGAAATAATTTAAAAACTTTAATTTGAAAGCAGGAAAGAAAAAGAAATTTTCACACACGCTGTTGCTAAAAAAAATATTATTTATTAACCATTTATTTTTAGAAACAATTTTCTTTTTTGCTTTTCTTTATATATAATTGATGTTCTTGGTTTTTCTATCATTTTTTATTTGATAAAATTAATTATAAACAGCGTAATTTAAATGGCTTCAAACTCGAGAATGTTGAATTGAGTATGTTGCAACACTTTTTTTTTTCAAATATTTGGCAGATAATGCTAACCAATATTATGAATATTAATTTTAGAAAAATAAAAGAAAATGGCAAGAGAAACACAGAACTGTTTTTTTCCTAATTTGACTACAAATCACTTGTCATTACGTCCCGTTTTTTAACTTTGACCTAGATTTTCGTCACTATTCAAGAATTATTACAGCATCCTTTACAAATCTTTCGGATACTTTACCCAAAATCAGTTAAGACACATCGCCCTCACAAAAATAATATCACTAAAAATATATTATCCTAATATTTAGAGGATACCTCATTCCCATTAATTAGAGAGTATAGTTACCTCAGCCTAACACCTTGTCCTAATAATATCTAGAGAAATACCTCATTCCCGTTAGAAAGTATAGTCCCTCACCCTAATACCTTAAAAGATACCTTAACCATCTCATAATGGCAAGACTCACAAATGAGAACTTGAAGCATAACTTAATTAAATCATTGAAGAATAATCAACAAAAAATCACACAATTAAAAAAATCATTTTAATAAATTAAAAAATTAATTATTTCTAAAAAAAGTGATATAATTAATGACTTATAATAATTATTTAATTATAAAAATGTTTTAATAAACTAAGAATGTAACAAAAATTTCACCAAAAGTAATTTATCTAAAATAAAAAGAAAGTTTCATGAAATATTTTAGTTAAATAGATTTGAGCTGCATATTCTATTTTTTAATATATTTTACAAACTCTTACCTATAAAATAAAACGAACAAGACTTCTCTTTATAATGCAAGATTGACTTTGACCTTTTATTTCGTTTGTCGTCGTCAAAATATGAGACTTGAGGTTGTAGCCATTTTCATTTATAAACAGTAGTGCAAATATTCTCATATTTTTCATTTATACAAGATCTACGGGATAAGACACTACTCGATCCTACTTATAGAAAAAGAAAATCAAGTACTCTTTCAACTTGAATAGCTGAGTATTCTCTCAGTCAGGTTAAAAGGTAATTAACCCAATTAAAGGGTGATAATTATATCATTATCTACTGTAATTAAATGGTCAAAATCAGGGTTGACTCATAAAGTCCATTAACTCATAATAATGCCTAGAAAAGGAAGGTAAGAGATATAGGTAAATAGTTGACTTCTGATTACTAAATAGCATTTACTGCGGACCTGAATTCATCATCGGAGTGCCTTTTATAGGTATATCCCCTCATGTCAAATTATGTTAGCAGTGTCAAGAAGGACGTCATCTCAATCTGGAAGAGACGAGAAGATCAATGATTCCTCAGCAGGAACACAAGATAATGATTAACTTTAAAGATTGTAATTATTTATCATATCAGCATAAGTTTATTTTTAAACTACTCATAACCAGAGACAAATGTGGCGCACGTTTTAAAGATTTTTAAGGCATGTTTGAGTTTTGGTCTTCAACATATATATACATGCACGACAAGAATGTCAGTAATATACTTTTTGCTGCACATTTTTATCATATTTTCTTTATTATTTGAAAAATTTTATATAATAATTTTTAAATTATATAGATTTCACCCTCTACTAATTATTATAATGAGTTTAGAGGTCATAACATGTTAAGTAGCGCCCGTTTAAAAGATTTTATGAAACCAGTTTAAGACCTTGGTAATGATGATATTTTTAAAACGATCCTCACACCAAATATGTGACCAATTTCACTATTGCCTTCGGTAATGTAGAGAAGAAAGTTCTCGTAAAGGAGTACTGTAGGTTGGGATCCATCTCTACTGGTTGATTTCTAACTTTCAATAAATTAAGGATCTTTTACACTATTAAAAACATGCAAATTATATACAGATGTATAGATAAAATTTTAAAAGCTTGCCGATAAATTTTAGCATTACAACAAATTTACAGATGGAATAAAGTTGTCTATGATTTTCTGGTTGATAAATGAACATTGACAGATTTTCAAAATTTGTCTATAAATTATAGTCTAAATTTTTCATTTATAAATCACACATGGATTTTTTCGTCTTTAATCTTATTGTATCATTTATTTTAGTTTTTATTTATTTATTTATATAATTATTTTTTACTATTTCTAATTATCACAATTTATAAATATTAAAAAAATATAAAAATATAATTTAAAAATAAAAATATTTAAAAATATTAAATTAAAATGGATATTAACATTAAATAAGTAAATATCTGAAGAAATAATATCAAAAATAAAATAAATATATATATAAAAAATAATATCAAAAATAAAATAACAATGTTAAAAATGAGTAGTTGGCGTGATCGTTGTTGGTAGTAATATCATTATTAGTAGAAAAGGAGGAGAAAGAATATCATATCGAGCTAAAGACTAGTGGTGCTGGAGCTGGTGAAGGAGGAGGAAGAGGTGTGGAGTTACTTGCTCTCAAGAGCTCAAAATATATATGCATCTATTGTATTTGCATATACTATTGCACCTTCTTCTACATCATTGATGTCACATTTTTCTCTATTTTCTTGGCCAACTTCTTCTTCCATGCACTCTCTTTAGTCTTTCACATCTTCTTATTCTACTTCTGAAGCTCTTCATTTAGGGCATGGACTTGAGTACAAACCATGTCCTCTACCTCCTCAAGCACAAGAGAAGGGGCATCCCTAGTGACAAATGCATGGGATATCGCATTCGTAAAGCGCCCCTATGTCATAAATGCAGCCTTTATAAAGGTCTGTTACCGTCTCTGACCACATAACATCATCATCATCAATGGACTTTGGGTCCTAAGAAGATGTCTCATCAAGCCTTTGAACATAGTCTTCCTATAGTTTAGTGTAGATAATTATATATTAGTCTCTAGAAATATTTAATAAATCTTCAATAATAAAATATAGTATCAGTAACTATACTTATATATGTGGCCTAAGATCGTATATCAACCTATAGAGTTTTGTCTCCCTTGCAAGTATGTGTCTCTTTGAATACCTTTCTATGCATAGGTGGTCTCTCCAATAACTTCTCTTGCAATTTCAATTAATAAACCTCTTAAATATCAATTATAAACTGAATAACATAAATTTTAAAAGAAAATTAAAAATTACATACCAAGTTGGTCTTAGTATCGGCCAAAGTCATAGAGTCACAAATATGCAGTGATTCTTCTTTATTAAATGCCTTGTTTATCTTGTTCTTTACAAAGAGATTTTTAAACTCATCTGTACAGTAATACCCTTGCAAGGCATGAAGGAAGTGAGGTGCTCTATCCAATCAACAAATGACGAGTCTTGATGAGCCTCAATGTACATCTATCTTAGTCGCTTTGCAGTGTGACTCTTCTAGGCCTTGAAAATTATCTTCTCGTCCTGGAAGGAATGGAGAATTTCCTCTACATAAATACAAAATAATAAATACAAGTACAAAAAATAGACATCTTAGACTTAAAATAAAGTAATTCTTTTATTACCATCCAACCTTTGAACCAGTTTAGCTTTATATCCTTAGGCACCTTAGCAAAACTTGTATAAGGCGCATCATACAACATACATCAAATAGAGTTTTGTGTCATATTTTGTAAATAAATTACTAAGTGGATCCATCTTATCTCAAACTTGGAAGTGATCTTAATGATGCTTAGGTCTGTAATGATTGTTGCCCATAAGAAGCTGCAATAGTAATGGATCCATTGCCTGTGTACTGTGCAGAGGGAAACTGTGTGACATGTGTAGTTGATGGTGCAGATTGTGAAACTCACTGTACTGAAAAGGGAGGAGGTACATACCTAGGGTTGGGTACAAAATTACAAGTACATTATCAATATCTTTTACTTTACATTACATGAAATTCTAATGTAAATTTTGGCAGAATCTCTCCTAATTTATGAATATTTTATTAAGTATGTTAACACCAAATACAAAAGTATACATTTCCTTCACACATAATGTATATATTATATAAAAATATATTAATAAATAAATCATAAACATAC